GTGAGTAAAGCTTTGAGAAGGACGTTTTCCATCAGGTATATAGATACTTGTCGGAATGCTCTCTTCTGTCAAAGTTTCAATCTGGATTTCGTCCAAAGCATTCAACTGCAACTGCCCTTATCCAAATGTGTGATGAGTGGCTAGAAATTAAATATGGATAATGAAAAGTTAAGTGGCGTCGTGTTCCTAGATATCAAAAAGGCATTTTACTCTATAAACCATCGCCTTTTGTAAAAATAAAATGAATGAGCAATTTGGAATTTTTGGCATTGAATTAAAAAGGTTAATTGAGTCATATTAAACAAACAGAGAACAGCAATGTAATGTTAACGGGGAATTATTCAGTAATAAAATTATCACCTGTGGAGTGCCCCAGGGATCTATACTGGGACCACTCCCATTCCTACTATATATTAATTATTTAATTTGCCCGACATTGTTTGAAATCAACTAATCCAGGCATGTGATACTCAAATCTTTTCATCTTCCTGCGATGCAAATGAACTTGTTATAAGTTTAAATTCAGATCTTGCCCATGTCTGTAATTGGCTTTTACTCAAATAGGCTGCAGATGCATCCATCAAAATACAAAATGATGTTTATGGGCTCCCCGTGTAATCTTAATAATATAATGTGTGAGGAATCCGTTGTGGCTAACGCAAAACCTATATTACGAACTGCTGCTACACAAATGTGTTTAGGAGTAAAACTAGATGAAAACCTTAATTGGGATAATCACGTTGAAATGATATGCAAGAAGGCGAGTGCTGCTATTGGCGCTATGAAACGTATAAAGCCCTTTGCTCCAATGCATACCTTAGAATCGATTTATAAAAGTCTTGTGCAGCCCTACTTTGATTATTGCTCCCCACTTTGGGACACTTGTGGTAAGTTGCTAAGAGACAAGTTGCAAAGATTTCAGTCTCGTGCAGCAAGAATCCTAATGGGTGTTAATTATGATACTCAGTACTCATGATCAGCTGATCTTCTCAACATGCTTTCTTGGGACACACTTGAAAATATGAATGTATAAAATACTTAATGACCACACTGCGCCGGGTCTTCGCGAGGGTACTTTGTGAGAAGAGAAATAGATCAAACTAATTATCATCTTCAAAATACAGCAACTGACCTAACAATTCCTAAGCCGAAACGAGAATTTCTTAAAAAAAAGTTTGAAATATAGCGGCGCTATGCTCTGGAATCAACTCCAATCATGCTCAATTGATGCCTTTGCCTAATTTGCATATTGCTGCAATATGCTAATTAGGTAAAAGGCATAATTAAGCATGCAAAAGGCTATTTAAAAAAAAATGTTAAAGGACTTAAATTGAAGCAAATTGTCTGAAATTTTGTGCAGCAATTAAACCAACCTCGTACACAGGCTCTCTTGCAATTAAACACCCAACACATTTTTCACCCATTAAAATAAAATTAACTCAAAATACGATTTTAAATCTCGTGCGGAAGCCATTTTTAGTTTGTTGGAATAAACACTCCCCTTGGTTTATAAAATTTGAATTCGAGATATTTTTTTTCAATTTCAAATCTGTTCAGTTTTCTTATACACCCTACAGGGTGTATATTTTGTATATTTGGTATATTTTGTCGGCCATCTAGTTTGCGTGATCGCCGCGCGTAGTTTACGCGAACACGTCACCCGGGTGACATGTCAAATCGTCATGGGATATGATTCAAGTCACCCGCTTACGTCAAATCAGTGCGTCAAATACGACGACGTATGGCGCAATTCGATGATAAACTTCATGCTCACGTGGCACAAACTTAGCTTTCTGATTGGATACTTTGAATTTGAGGTATAATATTGCTATATAAAATATCTCATCTGAGGATTTAATTAACGCTGAAGTAATGGACCTAAAAACCGCATGTTGAACCATTTGTGTGCAGATTAATGGTAAGACTGAGTGCATGCGCACTACTTTTATGTAGTCTAAACAAGGCAGCATTTCAGATTTAGGCCCGCGGTGAACGGCGAATTTCGCCGCTGACTACATAGTGATACTCTAGATTATCTTTACAGTCGTGCCAATAGAAGCGTTCCGAAAAATGTTGACCAGATCATTTCCTAACTTCGAGGAGTTCCTCTGAACAATTCCTCAACAATTTGATAAGTTCCTTAAAAAGTTCTTAACTTCCTGTTTCATTGACCAATTAAATTTTATATTTTATTTTTGAGCAATCTGATTGGCAATGAAACAGGAAGTTAGGAACTTTTTAAGGAACTTATCAAATTGTTGAGAAATTGTTCAGAGGAACTCCATGAAATTAGGAAATGAACTGGTCAACATTTTTCGGAACGCTTCTGTTGGCATGACTGTAATTACCAACAGACTTATCATATCGACGTAAATTATATCAATTCTATTTAGTGTTCGATAAATGTCAATTTTAAGATGGTTACATGATAAAAGTGAATTTGGGTTGTATTGATAGATAACGTACCATTACTTTAAAATTTACACCACAAGATATCCTTCTGGTGCTAAAATAAAGAAAATGCATAGCGTTATATTATTATTATTATTATTATTTTTATTATTATTGAATTCCAAACTATAGTAACTAAAGGTTCGTAATTTTAAATCAATAATGTGTTATTTGCAATTTATAAACGTTTTACAACTGATATATTTTTTAGATTATAGACGTCCATAAATTGTTGTCATCTTGACATGAAAAAGTGTGGTATCTTCATGCTGGCAACAGATTTGCATGAATATTAATAACACCACTTATAATATAATCGCTGATTTGATTCGCTTTTGGGCTGGAGCGTTGCAAGAAATGCTTCACTTCATCCAGTGGTTCCTCATCTGTGCATCTGCTCCATTCTGCCAACTCCTCTTGTTCGACTCCAACTAAAGTGAGGCGCCACTGTGCGTCGTAGTAACGAGCAGAGTAGTGGTGAGAGAAATACCAACCTGCTGTCGCCATTCCAATGTTGTCCAACAGTGTGCACAATTCTGCGTTATCTGGGTTTTCCTCCTTGGTCTTCTCGATCTTCTGGTACATAACTTTAGTTATTGAATTGAGTATTTGGACAGCTTTTAGAGCAGCCTGGGACTCTCCAGAAACTTCTTTACTTTCGGCCATTATTCTGACTGTGTTGGTAACCCTCGTTCCATCGCTTATTTCTTTCTCGTGGGAATAGATATCGTTGACGGTCGTGCAGTAGAAAGCACTGAGGCAGTACAACTCGTTGATGAGCGGCACGTGTGCTCTAACTTTTCCTATCGCCCCAGACGTTACTTCAAGTATGTGAAGCCAAGGACATGCAGCGCCCAAAAATGTACGCCGCCAGACAATTTCAACATTTGGGACAACACATGTGCTGGACTCCGTCTTGCAAGCTTCAATGTAAAGTGCGAAAGAGACACACAATCTCCTCCAAAAATCTCTCACATCGTCTTCGGCGAAATTATCTTTCTGAAGAAGGGATTTTGCTACGGAGTTTGTAAAATCCATCAGTTCCAAAAGTTGTGGTATTAACTTCTCGTCAGTAACTTTCTTCCTCAATGACTGCTTCATTTCATCAAGAGTTGGGAGTCGGGGAAATTGCTCACAAAGTTGTCTATCCAACATTTGAAAGGCGTCGCAGAGTTGCCGCATCTCAATTTGAGTGAATGTTTCCTTTTTGTCGTCGCTGACGAATATACTGCCCGTCAGGTTTGTCCAGAGCTTGAATAGTTCCCTGCACAAAGAATTGTTGGGAATAACTTCAACCATGTAACGCATGAAGTGGTATGGTCGAACAGACATGTTGTATTTTTTGGCAGTGTGCCTGTCACACAAGCCGAGAGCGACTACCCACTTAAAGTACTCTTCTTCGTCGAATAATTCTGGGTCAACGGCTTCGTTCACACTATCGTGGTGGTATTCAACCATTCTTTTGGGAATTGTAATTCCTTACTGCATGCCATTTCACTCTTAAATGAGAAAAAAAGAACAAGAAGGTATTAATTGAAGTATTGTTACACAAGTAACCTTAGAAACATAAAGTGTACACTTGAACAACTATATAACTTATCGTGGTAGCAAGCTAATTTCATTTGAGTTATAATTGGTTGCTCGGTTGCTGCATGTCGGACGTCATCCCTATTTGTAATTATTTGTTCATATACCGGGTCCCAAAAAAAACTTGCGGTGTTTGATTTTATGTAAGGTAAAAACTATAAAAGCTATTACACTCAAATAAGTTTTATTGTATTGAGGAAAGGCTAACTTAGATTTTGATATACAACCTAAAAATTTCATGTAATATTACGTGAGATACAAACGTTTGAATGTGGCGCACGCTTTATGAAAAATGAGTAAAAAAATCGAGAAACATGGCTGATCAAATTTATATATGAAAACAAATTGCCATTTTCCACAAAAATTAACAATTTCAATTTCAGCATTTCAACTCAACTTTAATTTCGGCTAATGTCCTAGGATAAGTTAACCTTTCGTGTTTCTTGGGAAGCGAAATAAGCATGAAACATTTAATTTAAAAACGTTCGAAAGCATATTTGACGTCCTTTGAGAGTTCGTATTATAAAGTTGGTCCGCCCTCGTTCGCCTTTCGAATATATATGCTTCGATTAACAAAAGATCAAAGAGTTTGGCTTTTATGTTTTCCCGTGCAAGACATTGCAAGCTAAGGGACATACTTTTTATGATAAATGAATAAATGTTTATCCAACAATTATGTTTTTCATTCGTTCTTTTGGCCATAATAAAACTATATAATCAAGTTGAACCAAATAATATTTGATTGGCAATTTTATGCAAATTTTTAACATTGTCAAATATGCTTATTCGATTTAAAACATCGATAGCTCAGTAAATATTGCACGGATATCAGGGCCTTTTTTAACATACAAGCTGGGGGGAGGGGGTCAAATGCCCCCCAGTCCCCCCTTGTGCCCCACCCCACGAAATCACATTTTGCCCCCCCCCCCCAGGAAAAGTCCCTTTTTCCTAAATTTATACCAACAAAACAGCGAAGAATAACAAAAAAATAAACGGAAAGTAAGTTTAAGGCTTTATCCTTTGTCCTTGTTTAACAAAATCGATCTAAATTGTTACGTTTTTCTATCACTAAGTAATGATAAGTTATTGTTAATAATTTTTTATTTTTTGGTTGCTCAGAATGCAGGAAAGAGCATTTCCAGGTTTCAAATTTGAAAAATTTTCTGGAGATTATGCCCCCACACACATGGCCTTCGGCCATTGGTATCCCCTCTAATAAGTATAATGATAAATTACGGTTAAACTAATATTATTTTTTACTTTTTGTGCATTTTTTCCTTCTTTTATTTCAAATACAAGTATAGTTAGCATAAATTTTAGAGCAAATTTGGATGCTCAGAATTCAGGAAATGGCATTTCCGTGTTTCAAATTTCAAAAATTTTCTGGGGGAGTAAACCCCCACACATGTGACATTGGCATCCTCCTCTAATAAGTAGTGATAAATTATGGTTAATATTTTTTTAAACTTTTTGTGGGTTTTTTCCTTCTTTTATTTCAAATACAAGTATAGTTAGTATACATTTTGGAGCGCATTTGGATGCTCAGAATGCAGGAAATGGCATTTCCGTGCTTCAAATTTCAA